TACATATACATATTACACATGCCAGAAGACTAGTCAAGACGCACCCGTGCGCGGACGATGAAACAACATGGTCGCTCACTGGCTGCGATGAGCAATTCCGCGCGCGCCAGCATACATATCATTATATATATATATATATATTCATATATATATATATATATGTATGTGTACATGTGTATATGTAAATATAAAGTGCGCACGCAGAGGGCCAATGAGCAACGGCAGTGGGCGCCGCCCGACAAACGCCGAATGATCAAAACACAATACGAAACGGCCCCAAGGGCGCCGCCCGACAACCGCCGAATAATCAAAAAAACAATACGACACGGCCATGGGGGCCGCCAGACATCTGCAGAAAAATCAAAAAAAAACAATACGAAACGGCCATGGGCGCCGCCCCACAAACGCCGAATAATCAAAACCAGTACCGAGCGGCCATGGGCACCGCCCGACAACCGCCGAATAACCAAAAACCAATACAAAAACACATATGGGCGCGCCGCCCGACAACCGCCGAATAACCAAAAAAAAAACCAAACGGCCATGGGCGCCGCCCGACTACAGCCGAATAATCAACAACCAATGCCAAACGGCCAGAAAGGCGCTGCCCGACAACCGCCGAATTATCAAACGCCAATACGAAAGGGCCATGGGCGCCGCCCGGCAACCGCCAAATAATCAAAACACAATACGAAACGGACATGGGTGCCGCCCGACAACCGCCGAATACTCAAAAATGAATAGGAGACCATGGGAATGCACAACAAAACATGATTTGCGAGTGGAGAACGACGGCAACGGCGCTCGCAGATCAGAATGTATCAGAATGCAAAAATCATGCGCGGACGCTAGTAATGAGTGGTCTTCGCGCAAGCGCGCTGAAAAAAAAACATGCTCGAAGAGTAGGCAAACCAAGCCCCGGCGCGCGCGCGCGGGAATCCATAGGAATAGTAGTACATGCTCGCAGAGTCGGCAAAATGATCCCCTCCGCGCGTGCGCAAGTCATGTATTAGAAACCTCCCTGTAGGGCCCTAGGGCCCACAGGCCCCACCTAAGACCCTAAGACCCTAAGACCCTGACACCCGAGAGATCCTGAGACCCTAAGACCCTGAAGACCCTGAGACCCTGAGGCCCCAAGACCCTCAGGCCCTGAGGCCCTGAGGCCCTAAGGCCTTAAGGCCCTGGGGCCCAAAGACTCCGATGCCCCTGAGGCCCGATGGCTCCAAGGACCAAAAACCCCAAAGCCCCAAGGCCCTACGGCGCTATGGCCCGAAGGCCCTAGGGCCCTGAGGCCCCGAGGCCTTGTGGCCCGAATACCCTTGGACCCTAAGACCCCAAGGCCCTGCGGACCTAAGGCCCTAAACCACGTAGGCCCCAAGACCCTAAGACCCGGGGGCCTACCACCCTAAGACCTCAAGACCCCAAAGCCTTACGACCCCAAAACCCCAATACCCGAAGACCCTAAGACCCAAGACCCCAAACCCTCAAGAACAAAACTTATTGAGGGTCTGCGAACCCACCGCTTTTTACGGCGCCCAGGCCCTATTACGTTGTGTACACCTTAAATAAGAAACCCTGAAAGCTTCAAACCCGTAGGCGGCCAGTCCCCTGCCCCTGCGTCGGGGAACCACGGTGTGAGGCCTGGCGGACAGTCCCCCTACGTTCCGCCGCGACCATGTTGCGGAAGGCCCGGCGAAATGTCTCCTACGTTGACGTCGCGGAAGGCCCGACGGACAGCCCCCCTACGTTGGGACGCGACCATGTTGGGGAAGGCCCAGCGAACATTTTCCTACGTTTGGGGGGCACCACGTTGCAGAAGGCCCGCCGAGGGAGAAGGCCCGGCGGACAGCCCCCCCTACGTTGGGACGCAACCATGCTGCAGAAGGCCCCGTGGAAAACCTCCTGCGTTGGGGAACCACCATGTTGCGGAACGCCCGGCGAAAATTGTCCCACATTGGAGAACCACCATGTTGCGGAAAACCCGGCGAAAAGCCTCCTACGTTGGGGAGCCACCATGTTGCGGAAGGCCCGACGGGCCTCCCCCTACGCTGGGGAAGCGCCATGTTGGGGAAGGCCTGGACGGTTTTGTAAGGTCCTGGTCTTGTGGGGTCTCCAGTCTTGCCTAGGCCGCCCGGGCACATCCGTATTCATCGCTACAGGATCGCCCAGCCGTCTTGGCTTCCTAGAGCCACTCCTATCTCCTGCGGACCTCCGCGCTCCCAGGCGCTTCCTGCCGCCTCCCACCTCCCTTTCCCTGGAGTCGCCAAGAGCGCGGCTGTCGCCCTCGACCCCAGCGTGCGCCGCCAAGGGCTCCCCCCCTGAACGACGCATCCTGGCACAGTATCTCCTGCCCCAAGCCCGGCCCCGCCTTGCTGGACGTGCGCCCCCGCCCCGCCTCGGCCTCGACGCCGCCAGCTGGCAGTGCCATTCGGCCTCGTGCGTCGTGAACTCATGCCCGCCCCGTCTGCCCGAGGCGGCTCGCGGCGCCTGACTGACCCCTCGCCGCAGCTGCCGCCCGCGCCCTGCCTGGGCGCGGGCCCGCCAGGACCTTTGGGCCTGCCACCGCCACGGCGGTGGAAGGCCTCGGCGGGGCCCGCCCCCGCCCCCGCCGGGAGGCCGGCCGCCGTGGAGGGGCCGCTCTGGGCTGCGACCCCCCTCGGGCCCCTACTGCACGCGGGCAAGGCCTCCTTCCTCCTTCGGCCGGGCGCGGCCGAAAGGAACGCGGTTCGTTCAGCATCCCGCCCCACGTCGGCCCGCGCGCACGCGCTTCCATGGGGCGTCGGCTAAAACACGGCGCCCCGTGGGGCATCGGCTGAAATTGAGCTGTCGTGTTACACGTCTCCCCTGACGCCACAAGGCTGGAGTGAAACCCGTGTACGGATACTGCCCTTGGGAAGAACCTGTGCCGCTCTACTGTTCGCCTCACGCTTATTCGAAGCCTAGAATCGAGCACCTGCTGAAGCGTGTTGCAAGAGATTGGGGTTGAGAGAACGCCGGGGGAAAGTGTGCAACCCACAGGTCTAAGGATATTGATACCAGTGGGGATAACGCTATAGCAAAGCCGTAGCTCATTTTAGCAGCTGTAGGCGCGGCCGATTCGTGTATATGATCTGCCCAGGTTTTGCCAATCTTCATAACAAAGCACGATGGCGCTCGGAGCCTGAGCAAGAATTAGGACTACGTCGACGTGCGCACCTAGCTTCTTTTGTGGGAGGCAATGCGTGGGTCCGCATGCGGTGGGCCATGGGGCCGTCAATGTGAATTACATGGCAATCGACCCCACGCAATGCATCGCAACGCAATGCAAAGCAACGCTGCGCACAACGATACGACTGCAATGCAACGCACAGCAGGACAACGCAGATTACGCATGGCAGCATTCAGTGAACGCATCGCCAACGTCAAACGGTCCGACGCAGCGCATACCAATCCATTTGAAACAGAAAGCATATACGATGACATGCGACGCTGGACGACCGAGGAACCTGAGGAGCCAGAGAGACGCGCCAATCCTCCCCACGCACCTTGTGAGGACTCCCATCGGCGAACCCCAAGGTTTGGGCTGGGGAAGCAACTTGGGAACCCAAGTATTACCACAAACCGATGCAAGCCGAAGGCGAGGGTGGGACCCCCGACCGAACACTGACGCAGAGAAGTTTTCTTCCCCATGACACCCGCCATGACACCCGCAGCTGGCCCCCCCCGGCCACGACGCCACCGACACCGCCCGCGGCCAGCTGGCACCTGAGGCTGGCTGCCGCCCAAGCCCGCGACCGCACACCAGCCGCAATCGGGAGCGGCCAAGAGGGGGGTGTCCAAGAGGGGGGGGTGCAAATCATGACCGGCGGCATGTGCGCGGCCCAGCGGGGGGGCCGGGACCGTATTGAAACAAGAAGAGGCGCCGTGAAATCTGGGGAAATATCATGACCCCCGCCATGATATCCACCCCCCCCCCCTTATCATCACCCCCTTCTTTTCCGCCCCCGACGCGAGGCTCCGGGCTTGAGCGGGCCCGGCAGCGCCCCCCTCCGCCGCAGCTCCTAAGGCGGCCGCCGCCCCTCGAGCGGCGCCGCCAGGGCGATCCGGAAAGGGTGCGCCGGGAGAGTTCTTGGGCAACGGTTGGGCAGGAGCAGAAGACACCCCAGATTGAAGGGGCCCCAGGACACACAAATAAATACACACAAATAAAAAGATTCCCCATATTTTCCCATATTTTCTGGGTTTCTGTCTTCCCCCCCATTTCCCATATTTTCCCATATTTTCTAGGGAATCGAGGATAAATTGTGTCTGTGTGTTTCTTTTCCTCCTGACAGATGTCATCGATCATAGCTGCTTGGCGCCCGATTGCAAGGGCTAGCGCCCAAGGCGCCCTGGCGGGCCGAACGATTTCTCTGCGTTGCGACATCTGCGACCAGAATCCGGCCAGTGCGAGAACATCAACTTACCTTGCGAACGAAACAGGCTTCTTGGGCGGCGGGCCACTGCAGGCGCTACGAAAGATTGGGGAGAAACAAGGGATACTCTAGGCGCAACAATTTTCCAACAATTGGGGAAAATGACCGCGCTTCGCTAGAAATTAACAAGAACAATAACACATCCAGTATCTCGGTGCGCGTCCCTACTGTACTTCGAATCGTCGACCGCCCTCGCCAAGCAACCTCACGCTTCAGCCCACTAGGAACTTTCGACGTAAGGTGGGAAAGTTCCAGGGTGGACGAGGAGCGCAACGCGCGCTTGCGAAAACGGACCAAAAAACCTCGACGATACACAACCTTGACACGCCAGCCAGATCTGGTGCACACGATACTCCGAAGATTCAATCGGCGCCAGCTGCGCCAATTTCGAACCTCACGTCCGTCGCGCCAAAATCGAGCCTCGTCCTGTCCCGATATCTGACGCCCTGTGAAAACCTGCGACGTCGTGAAAATCGGCTTCAAACAAAACAATCGCACCTCTCGAGAAGATACTGCTACCCATCGTCCGTCCGAAGGGTCCGTCTCCTGGGCCAGCGCCCTGCAGCAGCTCGCGCAACGCCAAACTCTCGGCTGGCGCCACGATGGGGTCCCGCCGGCCGATGACGTGAAGCGTGCGGATTGGCGACGCCTCCAGGGGGACATGTAGGAGAAGAAAGAGGGGGGAAGGGGGTAAGGAGGAGGTGCAGACTCAAGGCCCCCGTCTCGAGTACCATCCTCAAAAGTCCATGTAGTCCTTTCCCTCACTTAACGAAACGTCCCATCGAACGGCAAGAACCACATGGGCGCGCAATCCATACCAAGGCCCTGTTTTGAACAGGAGCTGCTTTGCATCCTTTTTAGCGAAACGCAGGACACGCTACAAATAGAACCGAAGAGTTCAATTCGGCGTCGAACCGCAACCCCGCTCTGAAGAGGAACCGCCTCCCATTCGTGCAACCGTGACACACAGTTTCACATCGTAGCACTTACTGTGCCAAGATATTCGCAGACGATTGTACCATTTGAACACAGGGGTGCCGTTCGCCCTTGAAGCTGTTGATCGTGGCCAAGCTCCTGGTCGGGCAATTGCGGGGAGGGTCGCTGCTCCCGTGTGCCAGCACGGAGGTCCGCGGCGCAAAAGGCGAGTCCGAATGTCGAATGTGCCGCACTCCCATCCTCGTAGCTGCTGCAGAAATTTGAAACAAGTTCGCGCGGGGCCGGGGCGAGACCGCCATCTTGGAAAGCCGCCTCCCTGCCTCCGTCCAGTGGTCCAAGCTTGAGCAGCGACTGCGCGCGGCGCTGGGGCGAGAGCCCCATGGTCGGCGAAACACGGGCTGCATCCGTGCAGCCAATGCGCAATGCTGTGCTGAAACCATACGCTTTGAAATAATGTTCAACGTGAGCCACGTTCTGCAAAAGAACGGGCCTCCACTTTTGTTGCCCCAATACCGCATCTGTTCAAAGCGACCTTGCGCGGCGTTGCGCAGGAAAGCCAAGTCTGAAGAACATCAGCCTCCATCCGTGACAGCTCTGCAGGACTGTTACACGAGCGCACGCGCCGCCAAGGCGGGAGGCCCATCTTGAGCAGGACCCGACCTCCATGCGTTAGATTCTTCGAGATTAAGCTCGATGGGGTCAAGCGAAACTCCAAGGCTGGCCTAGAGGACGCGGAGCTGATTTCAGAAGCACCACGGGATAAAGAACGGGGGGGGAGGGGAGGTGACTGGGGAGAGGGGGAGAGGAGATGGCAGAAGGACAATCCCTCCCGGCGCCTGCCAAGGCCCCGCCGCCAGCCGCACCGCCAAGCGCGAGTCCCGCGGCCGGAATCCTGACACCTGCAGCGGGACAGATGAAGCATGGCCACAGGGACGAAGGCCAAGAGCATACGCCCCTTCGCCGAAGGTCCAAGGCCCTAATCAAGCAGGACCAGAAACAGGAAGTCTGCGTACCTGCTCCGTCCACTGGAGCTGTCGGGGCAACAACGGTGGTGCCCATGACACCGGGCCCAAAAAAATGGGAAGACGGGCGACGAAGGGCATTCCCCAAATGGGCACGCATAACAGAAGGGCACCGCTCCCGGGCCAGGCTTGCTTTCAAGCCTCGCCCCTACCGCACGTGAATGGCACGTCGGCCACGACATACGTTGGACGCACCCTCGTAGCGGGTGACATATCCGGCGAGCGAGCGAAGGATTTCGTCCTCCTCCGCCGCTCTCTTCCCCGGTCTTCCTCGTCTGCCCCTCTCTCTTCCTGCCCCGCCCTGCTCTGCCTGCTCCCCGTCCCCTCGCGCCCCCCCTTGCCTGTCCACCCTGCCTCTTGATCTGCCCCTTCCCTTCCTCTTCCCCCTCCTCCACCTCCTTTCCTCCTGCCCCTCATTGCTCACCCCAACACCTGATTGCTTCGCGGCTGAACGTACAATCCTCAGCTGCTGCTCTGGCCCCCCGCTCCGCAGGGAGACGGGGCACGGATAGGAGGGGGAGGGGACGGAACGGTGGGGCAGGAGGGCAAAGGATGGAGCGCGAGGAGGAGGAAGGAAGGAGCATAACAGAGCAAGATCATGGACCCTTCAAGAACGCCTGTCGACTTGCCTCTCGCCATTTTGACATCCATCAGGTTGAAACCTAGCTCGGCTAACTACGCGCCGCACAACGACGAAGAACTCGGCATGACTGGCACCGTGCGACCACAGACGATGACGGGTGGGAAGCTCAAATTAGTTACTCAAGCCTCGTACCGTGAAGCTGGCACAGAAATCTGCGCAACCGATTCAAATACGTAAGGTCCCCCCCCACGAGCTGGACCAGCACCGCCCTCGAACGGTGGCGAACCCCCAGGCGCCTCGCAGGCCCACTCGAGGGACCACCTTAGGCGGCCGACGCACGACCGGACCAGCGGCCCTTACTACTGCCCTTCCCTCTTCGTGGAGCCCGCTGAGGAGCCTCAGCTCAGTATAGTGCTGAAAACAGGGATGGTTCCCTGGGCCACCAAAAATGCTAGACGCTCACTGCCCTGAAAGGCCCCCCTGGCCAGAAGATGTCGCTCCCTCGTTCCCTCTCCCGATCGGCCCCTTGCACGGCCTCTCTGACCGTGAGGCTGTCCGTTCCGTGCCACGCCTGCGCTCTGGCTCGCTTCTTCTCGGCCTGATCCAGGACTCGCGCCGCCTCCCGCTCGAGAGGGCCTTTGCGGGCTGGCTCAACCAGCTGCAGCGCCTAGGAGGCGGCCCCATTTGTTCACGATCTGGAAGAGCAGCATGCGTGCCGTCGAATCCTTCTCGTCTTAGTTGAAAGCGAGCGTGATGCGGCCCTTCTTGGCTTTGGTGCTATGGCTGCTGTTCCCAGCGCCTCCCTGCTCCTGCTCCTCCGTCCTGCTATCCTTGTACTTGCGATAGCGGGAAGTGGAGCACATGCTAGGTGACTCCCTGCGGTGTAGCAGAGACCAGATGCGCTTCTGGAAGTAATCCTTGAACTTGTCCATCTCCGCTGCACCCGACTCGGGGCTGCCCATCAAGGATCCTTCGGCCCTCTGCACGAAATTGGATCTCGCCGTCGCCCACATCTGCACGTGAGGAGGCCCCCTGGCCCTGAAGTCGACCTTCTCCCCTTTGAGCTGGCGTTCTTTGACCTCGGCTGGAACACCTTCCCCGTGAGGCTGGCCAGTTCGTGCGCGCTGCTGAGGCACAACTTTGCCATGACTTTCAGCAGCGCCGCCTGTAAGTCCCGCTCGGGCTTCTTCCCCTTGGCCTTGGCGTCGCCTGTGTTGAGCGTCTTGCCTGGCGGCGCCGACGGATGGCCCCCACCTGGTTCACGATTCGGTGCCTCCTCTATCCAGTCCGCTGGCTCCATCTGTTGCTGGTGGGATGTCTGGCTGGAGCCGCCGCGTCCTTGGAGGTAGTGGGCCAGACAAGTGACTGCGAAGATGTCGGCATACCGCATCGAGCTCCGCTGTTTCGAAATTGCATCGTGGGCAAGCCAATGACGATGGGGGAACGAGATCTCGTAGCACCCTGCCCACACCGAATCGACAGTGTCCCCTTCGTACCGCCATAACTGAATGCCTAGCTGCACACGCCTTATCGCAGAAGACCACCAGAAAACAACTGCAGGCATTGCTTGGCGACAACAGATGTCACGGCGAACGCAAGCCATGCCGGGAACGCATGTGAGGCCATGCGGCCGTGTCTTGTAGTGGGGCCCTGGCCGCAGCCCTCCTCAGGACGCAGAAGCTGGGAGCCTTCGGGGATGACGAAGGGACAAAGACGAGAAGGAGAGATTGAGGAGGGGAAAGGGCCCCCCCCCCGCCACCACCCCCTCCACCGCCGTCGGCTCTCTCGCCCCCGCCCGCCAGCACGGCCGCAGCCGGCGCGGCGCCGAGCATCCGCAGGCACAGCGCGGCGAGCGCCGCGCCCTGGCTGAACCTGCTCGGGACGGGGGGCGGACGCTGACGACGGCGGAGGCCAACTTTCAGATCAGATGGCGACACGATCCGGGCGGCCCCAGGCTACGTCGACAAGCTTGCGATCGGTAACTTGCTCAGTGCAACGTCCGACGCCGCCGAAGGCAATGCTTCTGTTCGTCACGGCAGTGGGACGGTGGTGGTAATGGTCGCGCTGACGGACGGGAATCGAGATGGATGCACTGCAGCCCACTGCAGGCGTCAAATCCGGCATGCGGAAATCGGACGGCCGCAATCCTGTGGTCGACACCCTGCTGGCGCATGCAGAACGACCTCTGCGACCCTGCCTCCCTCTGTCTGCCTCTCTGCGACGTCGCAGTGCTCGTGCGTCGCAAGGAAGAGACGCGGTGCGCGGCGCGCGCGAGGCGCTGGCCGGAGATGAGTGGTGGGGCCAGCGCTGGAGCATTACGCGGATTGGGAAATGTTGGGACAGGCCTGCTCGAGTCGTGCCGCGGCCGGGCTCCTGCAATCTCCTATGATGCGGAAGGGCAGGGGAGGGAGCTGACGTCACCCGCTGGTCCGCCCGAGCCCGTCACCGTGACTCGCGCTCGCGCTGGCGTACGCCGTGGTGCCCCCCGCTTTCCTCCCACCCACCCCCAGCTGGTCTGCAGTTCGCTTTGAGAGCCCCAGGAGGCAGTCCACTGGGGCGTGCTTGCCCAGGCTGGCGCCGACATGCTGCAGGGACTCCTGGACGGCCCTCCTCCGCCTCCCCGTTTGCCCACCCCGTGCACCAGCTCCTCCCCAGGTCGACAATCCCCCGACAAACAATGTATCTTCACCCACCTGGCCTGAAACTGCAACCTGAAAACAAGTATCATGGCCCAATTTTTGGAACCCAATTATCCTCATCCGCCCGCCTACGACTGCAACACCGGCCGCCTCATCAACCCCCTCAAAAAAACGCTGATCCAACTGCATTCCAAATAACATCCACCAGCCCGCAACAAACAACACTGGCCTCGGCCGGGGACACGTACGCAGGGGCAACCTGCTCGCGCTGTGGACCCAAAGCACCGTACTGCGAGCACGCCGTACCCCATGGCTAGTGGCAGATCCGCGCTCGACTTGCCTGGGAACACTGCGCAAACATCTTTACGCATCTCGTAGGGGAGCACACAATCAGGCGACCTGTAAAAGTAGCGCATGCACTACTGCACACATGCACCTTGCAATGTTAACGACGATGTTCGGAGCCCAGCAGGAACGACCTTGATGCTGATACAATCTGCCATGCTATGGTGACAGGCATGGGCTTGACTCGACTCCCACCAGACATCTAGACGAGGCAGCGGCGGCGGCAGCAGACTAGCCAGCTTCGGGATCCTCGAAGCCCACCTGGGGATCGGGATCAGGGAACGACAGCCTGTCCTACCCGTACTGGCCTCGCCTGCAACAGATCTGCTCTCCCGCTCCCAAATGGATTCGACTCAAGAGGTGGCGCCTGCTAGCATGGGCTAGCGGTGGCAAACCTAGTTCCCACTTCAGTCCACCCCCCTTCCTCCTGTTATGACCAAGCTACAAAACCAAGCCCACAACCTTCCGTATCGCTCCAAGCTGGCAGGCCCCGAGTCTCCGTCGCATGCGGGGATCAGAGGCCCCAGCTGTCAGCCAGTTGTCGAAACCAGAACAAAGTATAGTTCGCGGCGTCCTTTCATCTTCCTCCTGCTCCTATACATCATTCGCCCCTCTTCGGAGAAGACGCGTGAGGGAGAGGGTGAGTGGGGAGGGGGGGGGAGGCCAGGATCGACTTGGGCGGCACTTCAGTTGGAATGAACATTCACCGCCGCAGCGACGCAGCTGGCAGGATGGTGTCGCCGCTGAGGTTTGAGATTAGTAGCGTTGTGGTGGGGAGTTGGCGGGTAGAAGTGGCGGGCGGCGGCAGTACATTCGTCAATGGATACGCTGCCAGTGTGCAAAACAATATGACTGCATTTTTGACGGCGTTGATCATTGTGCTGGTTCGCCTCATGTTGCTCCTACCCCTCCTTCTGCTCGTCCTTCTCAGCCACCCTCTCCTGCTCCTCTTCCTGATGCAAGCAAGCGGGCGCCCAGTGTGCCTTGGTATGGTTTGGCAGCGGACAGAAGGACCCGCAACCTCGCCCTGGAACCACCTCCTCCTCCTCCTCCTCCTCCTCCTCCTCCTCCTCCTCCTCCTCCTCCTCTTCCTCCTCCTCCTCCTCCTCTCTCGTTTCTCCCATCGCCCTCTCCCTCCCTCGCCTCTCCCATCTCCCTCCCTCATCCCTGTCCCGCTCCCCGCTCCTCGTTCCCGCGTCCCCCTCATTCCCCCGGCCCCCCTTCCCCGCTCGCGCACGCTTTGACGTTCTGCGCCCGGCGGCGCCTCGGGACAATTCCACCAGCCCTCTGGACGCAGGTGGTCTCGAGCGCGCCTTCTTCCAACCCCAATCTTCCCCTACGGGGAGGGGTCTACCCCTCCCCCTTACCCCCTCCCTGGACTTGGACGGGGGGGTCCGCGAGGGATTGGAGCGTCCAAGATGGCCCAAAACGGTTCCCAGAGTGCCTCAGAAAGCCCAAGCGGCCCCAAGAACGCTCCAAAACGACTCCAGGCGGCCACCGAGCCTCCCCAGGAGGCTGCCTTCAAGCAACTTGGGCTCAGGCATTTTGCCGGCACCCAGCCCGTTGGGCTTCACGCAACGCTTGAGGAACTAAGCCCAGGCGTGCGCCAACACACCCAGGCCTCGACGAACACATGGGAACCAGCATTCATCTTCAGTGAATTGTTCTGCCATGGCAAAGTTGTGGTCCAGGTGCCTCAGTTGCCAGAAAGTCGAGTAGAACTCAAAGTTGCAGAAGGTAGGGTGCGTATGCAGCGGGTGCGGTGAGCACGTCGCGCCCTGCGCACCCAAGAAGAAGGTTCGCTTCAACAGCAGGGAAAGCGTCGAGAATGACTTCCACGATGCTCTGAGTGGAGAGGAGTCCTGTTCCGAGGGCCTTGAGCCCTTGCCAGTCGGCATCCTGGGACAGGGAGAGGGTCGTCCACGCAGTTTCTCCCCCGTGGGCAGCAGGAGCGAGAGAAGGGCGACACGGGCGGATTTTCCAGGCGGTGACGGCGGCGTCGGCGGACCCCACTTTCAAGGCGGCGCTGGAGAAGCAGCTGGCGCAGATCACCGCCAACGGGCATTTGGACGACACGCATGAATCGCCAGGAGAGGCGCTCGGCAGCGTCCTGAGGAAGGCGGCACCTTGGCAGCGGCGGAGCAGAAGGAGCGGGTGACCGCGACGGGGCTCGCGGAAGCCTTGGCGCCCAAGAGGGCTGCGACCTTGGCCCTAGCCATAGCACAGAGGCCCATCCACGCTGCCCGCCGATGAGGTGGCGGCAAGGACGGACAAGCTGTTCACGATCGAGCGGGATAAGAGTTCTTCAGCGACGTGGAGACTATGGAATGCACCAAGGAAGAGAAGATTGGGCCGGACGGCAGTCACACGCAGCCAGTCGACGTGCGCAATGCCTTCCCAGGACGCGAAAATGAGATCAAAAAGTGGCCCAAGCAAGCCGATGACTACCCGGAGACGACCACGGACAAGCTCGCCAAGGAGCGCAGAGCTGCCGACGGCACCGCTCAGGCCCCAGCCACAGCTGAAACGCCTGAAGGTCAGGCGGCTGCGGCGGACAGCGGGAAGGCCCCCGCTGAGGGCTCGAGCGCAGATGCCAACGGCAGCGACAGTGCCTCGAAGGGAATGGCGATCCAGACGGAAGCTCAGAAGCTGTGCGAAGCCAAAGTCAAGGCGAAGGCGGAGGCGGCCAAATTGGCGTGGTAAGGGCTTCGCGACCATGGACGCGCGGTCTGCGACTGCGTGACCCACGGCGGGGCCCGCCTCAACACAGCCCAAATGAGGATGATAAGAAAGGCGAGGAGACCACATCATTGGTCTACAGAAGTGCCACCGCCATGTCTGACAAGGTCTGGAGGCGCGTCGAGATCAACGTGGCTCAGCACAAGCATTGGACATGCGATGAAAACAAATGTTCTTGCAGATAAGATAACGAGCTGCACGAGTGGGATGCGAAGGCAAGGGGGTGCGCCCTCGCTCACACGCCAACCCCGCCCGAGCATCGGGCAAATAAGTTTCAGCGGCCAGTGGGGGCCAGATCCAACGAGGACGGAGAGGTATTCGCGAACCATGATCGAACACCTCTACAACTACACACAGCAAAACTGCACCTTGTTGCGGGCGCCAGGGGTGGCAATCACACTTAGATTTGGCGCGTCGGTCGGTCTGGGTGGACGGACACCGCCTCACGACCCACGATGGAAGGCGATGGTCGTGCCGACGACGTCGCGTGCCAAGCGTGGAAGCGATCGCCATGTTTCACGACGAAGCTTGGCGGCAGCCGCAAGAAAAATCATAACGCGAACAAGCGCTTCACCCTCGGACGGGGAATAGGGCGCGAAGAAGAACTCCAAAACGCGGGCGATCAGATCGCGAATTTGCCTCTGGGGCACAGGCGGGGGAAGGAAGCGGGCCGCGCGAGGTCGAGGCCCCCAGGCATGCGGCTGGCTTCGCTGAACTAGGGGATGTGGGATGTCGGTGGGAAGCGGCCCAGTGGCGGGGCCTCGGCGATGGGCGGCGCGGGCAGCCGATGCTTCGCGAAAAGGGGACACGCACAGAACGGCACTGAGCGGCCAGGGCGCGGTACACGCTGGGGGCGCGAGCGGCGGCGCCCGCCATGCACTCCTCCCCGCTGGCCAGGTGTAGTTCTATGCGCGCCCCTTTTTGCGAGGATGTCTCCGGCGAAACCAGCGCGTACATAACTACACCTAGTGCCTGGCTAGGTGCAATTCTGAACGCGCTGGATGTCTCGCGCGGGGCGAGCACGCGCAGACCGGCACCTGGCGAAAAGGGGCGGGGTACAGGTCGGGCACGTCGTCGCGCCCCGCCCGCTGAGTCAGGAAGGCATGGGCCGCTGAAGCCCCTGCCGGCCTCCGGGGCCCGCCTCAACACAGCCCAAATGAGAATGAGAAGACAAGCGAGGATACCACATCATTGTTCTACAGAAGTGCCACCGCCATGTCTGACAAGGTCTGGGGGCGCGCCGAGCTCAACGTGGCCCAGCACCAGCATTGGACATGCGATGAAGAGCAGGTTCTTGCAGATAACGAGCTGCACGACGAGTGGGGTGCGAAGGCAAGGGGGCGCGCCCTCGCACACGCGCCAACCCCGCCCGAGCATCGGGCAAATAAGTTTCAGCGGCCAGTGGGGGCCAGATCCAACGAGGACGGACAGTTATTCGCGAACCATGATCGAACACCTCTACAACTACACGCAGCAAAACTGCACCTTGATGCGGGGGCCAGGGGTGGCAATCACACTTAGATTTGGCGCGTCGGTCTGGGTGGGCGGACGCCGCCTCGCGACCCACGATGGAAGGCGATGGTCGCGCCGACGACGTTGCGTGCCAAGCGTGGAAGCGATCGCCATGTTTCACGGCGAGGTTTGGCGGCAGCGGCAAAAAAAAACCGCGAACAAGCGCTTCACCCTCGGACGGGGAATAGGGCGCGAAGAAGAACTCCAAAACGCGGGCGATCAGATCGCGAATTTGCCTCTGGGGCACAGGCGGGGGAGGGAAGCGGGCCGCGCGAGGTCGAGGCCCCCAGGCATACGGCTGGCTTCGCTGAACTAAGGCACGTGGGATGTCGGTGGGAAGCGGCCCAGGGGGCGGGGCCTCGGC